TTTATTTTTTTAAAAAATATTTTTGTTAAATACTCTATTTTTTTTTTTTTTGATCGAATCGAATTTTCAATATTTTTAGTCCGACCAGACGTTTTACCATTTTTTTTTTCGCATTCTGTATTAATAATAAATTTATTTTCGTCGTCGAGTGCGCTCGTTTTCGCGCTGGTACGCGGCGCCGCCGTGCCGTGCGCATCCAGTATGTTAAAGTGCACCCAGTCATTGCAATAATAACAATAACAATCATTTGTAATTATTATCGTTATTACTGTCATCAGCCACTGCTGTCGGAGCGATTATGGTTGTTGTTATTAAATCGCGTAATTTAAAACATCACATCAACTTAAAATATTATGCTGACCAATCGCAACGCGTAAGTATCGACCGCGCGGGTCCAGCCGAACTACGATAGAAACCATTTCGCCAATCGGCTCGTTTCGCTTTCACCCCTAACACGACCGCCAGTTATTATAATAATATTATAATATTTTCTCGATGATTTAAATAACATTTTAGTTTTCCATTTCGTCGTCATCGTCGTCGGAGGGTTGTCGACGAACTGACGACGGTCTGTTTGTTTACAACAATAGTATTATTATTATTATTATTGTCGTTTTCACTTTTTCTTTCCCATCGGGTGGGGGCGGYGTATTACAGTAGCAACACACTTAAGGTATATAACAATATCTACACACACGTCCTTTCATCCCCGCCCGATGGAGGTCGTTTTCCTTATCAACGTTTGCTCTTCGCTGATTTACTGTCGTCGTCGGCGGATCAAAAAATATCCAAAATTCTATTACCTATTATTAYACTTCATGAGAGTGACACTCCTATAAACGACGGTTTTTTATTTATTATAATAATATTATTATTATTTTCCATATAATTAATATTTGTCACAGTAAAATTCCTACTCATGGTCGAATGTTGCTTCGAATTTCCCATTGAATTTTCAGTTTAAAGCGCAAAAATAGCTCACTTGGTTTTTCACTTTTTTAATCGTTCAAAAAAATATTTTATTTAATATTCACGTAAAACGTTGTAGGAGGTACCTACCAAATACCAAAGTCCCTGCTCATCGAGTTTTGCCGTACTAACATATTTTGTGTAAAAAATGTTTGTAGAAAAAATATCCTTTTAGAAATCAATAGAAATMAAGTTATTAATATCATTAATATCATATTAGGTACCTATAAATATTATGTTTTTTATTTGAATATTTAGGAAAGTGTCTTTAACTYGCATGTTTTAAATTTCAATAGGTATGTGTTGGAATGTTACAATTAAATATTATTTTTAGTGTATAGGTAATTTATAAATCGTTAAATAATAATGATTTAATTAGATATATTCATTGTAGGAGTTTTTTTTATACACTTATAATTAGGATTACTGCTAAAATATTTAATAAACCTTTTAATTTCACATTATGCTTTTAATAATTTAGAAATTGTATTTTAATTACATTTAGCACAATTTACTATTTTAACATTTTTAGGTTTTATGGATAATTTTATGTGGTTTTCAGTATTTTTATACTTACAACAGCTTAGACTTAAAGAAATACAAGTACAATTCTCAGTCCTTTCAGTCCCTAAACAAATGTTAAATTTTCAATTATTTTGACCTTTAAACTTATGATTTTCAAATCACTTAATTTAGATTTTTGATACCTTTAAATTAGTTTAACTAATCATTAATCAGTAATTTATATTTTATGTAATGACTATTTATTTTCAGATGAAAATAAGTCAATAATGGGCGGAATGGATACAGACCAATTATATTCCGTGCGCTGGAATGAATTCCACACAAGTATTATAACATCATTCAGACATTTACTCGATCAAGAAGATTTTATAGATGTTACTATCGCCTGTGATGGTCAATCATTTACTGCACATAAAGTTGTGCTCTCTGCATGTAGTCCTTACTTCAGATCTCTGCTCAAGGTATGATTTTGAAATTATATATATATTTTTAATACTTTAAGCAATAATACATTATGGATTCCTTAATATTTTAGGCAAATCCATGCCAACATCCGATTGTAATCCTTCGCGATGTTAAGAAACATGAAATGGAAGCATTATTAAGTTTCATGTACAATGGAGAAGTTCGGATTAATCAAGAACATTTACCAGAATTTTTAAAGACTGCTCGTAGCTTGCAAGTACGAGGTCTCGTTGATTTTACTAAAGAAAATCAACCGGTAAGTATTAAACTATCCACGGATGATCTTGTTGGTTGAAAATCGTTAACTGATATATTTTTATTTGATATATTAGTCTTCGTGGGGAAGTTCAAGCGTAGTTCCAGTTGATGTTATTGGAAAAAATAAAGCCAGTGATAATTTACCTAGCCCACCATATAAAAGACAACGTAACAATTCTGAACAGTTGACTACTCAACCACTGACTCCTAGTAGTAGTTATAATRCTGATAGAGATAAAGATACACCATCACTGCTCGTTCAAGCATTGGAATTGAATCAATCGCAGTCAAACCAGGTAATAAATAATACCTACTCAGCTATGTGTTTGAAATAAGTATATTATTTACTAATTCTTGCATGTATCTGAATTTAAAGAATAAAAATACAGTTGACTCATCAGTCACTGGTCATTCATCTGATGAAGAAGATAGCAATTCTGGAGATTCAGATGGCAGTCATACTGTTAATGACAATAGACGTTCAGATGGAAATCAACAAAACAATGACATTGCTAATCAACCACAAATATCTCAGGCCCAACATTCAAAACTAGAACCTGTGGATTTTTTATCAAGTAGTGGTAATAATCATGACCTACACAATACATCAATTTCGATTGAGCAACAGTCCAGGCATTCTTTTCCTACATCAATATCATCTGGAGTTTCAATTATAAGTAGCTTACAAGGTTTGTTTATTTTATAATTTTTTTACTATTGAATGAATATTAAATATACTAATTGTTTTAGGATTACCGGGTCTATTACCAGGTCCGTCAGGCATACACAACAATAGCCAAGAAAACAGCTACGGTGAGTGAATATTTATAATAAGCTTACTAACAAAAATTGCAATATGCTTTAAAAAGTCATTTGGATATACTTAATATTAGTTATTCCCAACAACCAAAAATAATATATCCATTACTTCACAAGAAAGGTTTGAATTAAAATCTAAAGTGTATGAATTATAAAAACTTAATTGTATTTTCATGTATGTCATGGAAAAAATATATACATTTACTGCCTGACATTCATGTTCTTTATTGTATGTATTGAAGATCTTAAATTGTTGAATGACATAGGTGCATATTATAAATGTTAAGTGTTTTAATTATTACACATTTGAAGGTATCATAAACATTATATTTTATATTATTATTCTGATATAGGTCATATAATATTTATAATCTCTGGTTACAGATAAATGTTTCTTTGCTGAATTTAAATTTATTGTATTCTGTAGGTATGTTACTTGAGAACTAACTCCTTTGTGTATTGACCGGAATATTATTGAACTATAAATAATTGAAAAAAGAATTATTTGCCTAGCACAAATTTGATTAGTTAGATTTTAGTTATTATATTATGGATATATTAACAAATAACTAACATGTTAATTTTATGCTTATGGCAAATTTTAAACTTCAAACAAAAATTATTCAATTTGTATTATGAATTAATTTTATTGAAACTTTCTAAGAATTTGTTTGATTGAGCTACTTTTTTATCATTTGGCAATTAAAATTATTAACTGTTTAAGTTCTATTTTTATTAGTTGAGTTTATTTTTCAATTGATGTTCCTTAAGAAATGAGGTATTTGATTCTGAATACTAATGTGGTAGGAGTATTGGATACTTGTTATGTACTTGGAGAATATATGTAGATTGTTTAAATTCTGTCCAACGATAGAAAGCGCTGTGGCTTGACTAAAATCAGTTCTTCGACACATTCCTGCTTGACACAAAGATGTCAGCTGGGGATGCACAGCATCTGATTATTTTCTCATTGGATAAGTATAGTTTTTATTCAAGGAAAAATAATTGTACAGTATTTTAAAAATAATTGAGATTTTGGATACATAAGAAATCAGAGAATCAATGATTCAAATAATATTGTGTGTGTTGCTATATATTATTTTGAGCAATCTCTTTAAATGTAAACATCTTGTTAAGTATTAAACCTACAATTTATTTTAATTCTCATCCATCTAAAGTTTTTTATTATACTTTTAAACATTAAATATTCATTTTTACTTGTTTTACAAATATAATATATATTAGGTATATTTAATTATTTATTTTACTAAAAATATATGTATACATTTATATGAAAACAAATATAAATTATTAAATCAAGATGCTAGGTGAAAAAGTGAATCTCTGTTCAATGAATCAATTCAAATTTTTGAAATATTAAGATTTAATTATTTAAGATATTGTCTTGTTACTATAACTTATGTGCAATGTAGACAATATCATTGGCCTAATTTAAAGTGCTTATAATTATAATAATTATTACTATTATTATTTATATTCATTTTCCAATGAAAATTTCTAGCAAATAAATWATTTTCATTTTTAAAACTATATGCATAACATTTAATTACTTGTTTGATTTCTCTTTATTTATTAAATAAAATATAACAGTTATTTAGCATTTTAATAATAGGATATCCAGCATAAAACGGATGTTACAATAAACTATTTTATTTTTTTAAATACTTCATCAAAAAAATACTTGTATGTTTCCATATTATACATTCTATAAAGTGAACACATTGTGTTCTCCTAATATTCCCTTTACATTGAAGTTTCAGTGTATTAATAATGATAATTTGTTTTTGAGGATCCTATGTATAAGTTATAATCAAATTAAAAATCAACTTGTGTTCATAATTTAATATTAGTTGATTCTGGTTACACATATATATGTGTATCACCAATAAGCTATTTGAGAAAAATTTTCCTCTTTGATGAATTACATTTATTTAAAAAGATAAAATTAACTTATACATCTTAGAGGTTTAAGAATAGTTTAAAATAGGACATAATAATAATAGTAAAAAAATAAAACATTACGTTGGCTAATCATAAAAAATAAAACAACATTTAATAATAGCTCTACTATGCACTGATGAATTATGAGTAATTTTACAATACTAAAAGAAGTATAATGTATAAATACATAAAGTGAATTGGCTTATTATTTTTAATTTATTAAAATATATTGGCTTCTCAGGATGATAATTTTTTTTATAAGACTTGTTAAGCCAAATATTTTATGTTTTGTTTTTTAATTTTAACTTTATCTATTACTTATTAATATCAGTTGTACATTRTAATGTATGTAATTAATTTTGAAAATATTCATTAAACATTTTTAATTGTGCATCGTAGAAATGTTTTTAGATAATGTTTGATTATATAAAACAATTTTTTCTAATACTTTTTTTTCTAATTAATATCGGTTAGTAGGAAAGTTATAACATTGATCTGAAATTGGTTCGTGCCCTATTGATTTAGTATTTAAATGTATTCTTAAAATAGATAACATTTAGTAATATATCTACAGCAACATCAGGTTATCTACCTGTAGGTTAATCCGAAATTAGCTAGTAACAAACTTCTAATAAATTGATTTTAAATCTATAGTAACTACCTATATATTTTACAAGTAATTGAAAATAAACCTCTTGAAACTAAAATGTGCAATAATATGTTTTATTTGTATTCTATTTATTGAAGATGGAATAATTTGATCACAATAATTTAAAGTTAAGATTATACATTATTTGTCGTTTTCTTTATACATATCTATTTCAATAATATATATGAGCCTATATATTATATATATATACTCTGTGTAAATTCAAACCATCAACATTTATTTCTTGACTGTAACAGAAAGAGTGTAMTCAATATTTTTTTATTCCCATCTGGAATACATTTATGTTTATACCTACCGAATAAACTCGAAATTAATACTTTGATATTATTAATGACTGTTAAACATAATATTATACTATWTTATGTACGTTTGACTTTCAAATAAAACAATTTAAGACTAACGGAATACTAATCTCATTCACTGGGCTTTACTAAGTGTTTCTGCAACATTCATCAGAGTTGTTWACGACTAAATGTTTTGCTATAAAATGTTTTCGTCACTAAGACTTTAGATAAAAATAGTTAGTACTACATGCAGGCAACGTTTGTTGGTACACTTCAAAGAACTCAAAAATGTATATATCTTAAAGTTCGTGGCAATTTTCGTATATTATTTAAATAGTTTGTTTGAATATTTCTATATAACGTATTTCATACAGAATAATAATAATAATAGTACCAAATGTTTGAGCTATTATAAACGACACAAAATATTATTTTTATATACATATAATAAATGTGCTTACACTGAAATGAATAAGTTGAATTATGAATAATTTTTATAATTTATAATACCTATTACATTAATTTATTTTGAAATGATAATTATTGAAATTTTGTAACTTGTAAAGATCTGTTATATGATATTGTTGATTGTGTATTCGTGTGTTTCATTTTCGTTAGGTACCTAGTAAATTAGTATATTTCACGTTATTATGGATAAATTTCCATTTAATTTGCTCAAAATTAATAATTTATATTGTGTGTAMAAATAATATAAAAAAATAAAATTGCTCGTCTTGAAAAGCACGGTGTATATTACACAATAATGATTAAAAAATAAAAATCCATTCAGTTATAAATTATTATTTAGTGTTAACTATCTGTTTAACAATTATTTGTATGTATAGTTTCTTGTGTTTGCGTTAGGTATTAAAATTGTTTAATTTGTGTATTGTATTAATTCACAGTTTCACAGTAGCGTTTTATTTTGAACAATTTAATGCGAACATTGATAAAATATTCTTGTATATTATGTTGATTATTTTACTGTCATTGAAAAACGTGTATTGTTTTATGTTTAACTACTATATGCATTTTAAATAAAATATTAGGTACATTAGTACATAGGTACTTATTACTTATAAATGAATACCATTATTGTAATTGAGGAAACTATATATTGTTGAATGTCATTCTTTTGAACTTTGATGTATACTTTACATGACGCTACACAGACATTTGATAATTCAGTTTTTAAGGGAGTCGTGACCATTTTTRRTGAAACCCCTGCTAAAAAACTGAAGTATCGTAAAAAACATTCATATAAACACAGATAATATCTTTATTGTTCTTACCGTCAAGTTTAATAATAGTCTATTCACTCTAATTTTTAAACTGACGTAGCTAAACGTGATCTGCTTAGCGTAAATTTGTATATTACGCACTTCTAGACGAAGACAACAAATGTCCGTCTATCGTGCTCTTAATGTGAATTATTTCGCAAAAAATTAAAATTTGATATCTGAATAGTTTTATATTATACTCGTACTGTTGACATGGTTATATTTCTGTTGGAGTAGACACTTTTGGTGTTTAGTCTAATATATAATTTGGTCTAATTATCTGATAAATTCATCTTGGTTAAAAAGTAGGTATACAGATAATATTTCTCATTTAAATTTATTTATAAGGCATATTTTTATGTTCATACATCTAGAAATTTGGGTAATTACGTATGAATGAATTAAATGAAATGTATTCATTATTGAGCTACTCTTACGTTTTTAATTTTAAATAAAMATTTTTGTACTGCATTTTATAATTATTTTATTATGATTATGATAAAAATAAGTATTTTCTCAATTCATAACATACACACACACACACATATTTAATATACATTTATCAATATCGGTTGCTTATAAACAGTTATTTTTCGAAYAAACATACGTTGAAATGGTACTTGACCAAGATTAAAATTAAAAATTAAAAGTTTTTTGTCATATTGTTTTAAATGGCTCTTGYAGCATTATTTTTAATGAATAATTCAATTATAAATTATTATATGATGCAACTAGAAAATAAACTAAAATACCATTGAAAATAACTTGGGGTCAATTTCTTTTCGTGCACTTGTATAA